TTCACTGTCCAGCTTTCGCATGCATATGAGGTTACTGAAAATACCACGGCTTGGGTCAGGCCCACCTTAGTCCTCAAGCTGACATCTTTGCTCTTCAACCTGTCCACAATGAGTGGTCCTGCTAGTTTTTGAAATACTGGTGACATAGGATCCAGGAGGATAGTGACACACAAGCCACCACAATACCGAATATACCAATAACTATGGCACACTGAGAAAAGGTTAAGCTAATGTAAATATACATTAAAAATCACAGGTAACTTCAAAAACTAAAAAAATAAATTGTGCAACTTTTAAACCACCAAGGGAAAACCAGAAAAAAGAAAATATGATCAGCCCAATAAAAGGCAGGAAAAGAAGAAACAACAGAAGAGCTACTACATAGAAAACATGCAATATTATGGTGGAGCAACTGGTGAGTTTGAACCGCTGACCTTGTGGTTCAAATTGACCTTGCAGTCTAGTGCTTATCCTACAGCGCCACACCAAGACTCCTCTTTGGTTCCTGTTGTTGTTGTCAAGTGTCACTGAGTCGGTTTCGACTCACAGAGACCCTGTATAGTCCCTGAGGAGCGACTGGTGAGCTTGAACCACAGACCTTGTGGCACTGGTTTTGGGGTTAGTTTTGGTTTGGTAGCTGTTAAGTGCTGTCCAGTAAGTTGTAAATCATAACAACTCTGTAGGGTGTCCTAGGTGGGGCTGGTGGGTTTGAATCGCCAAGGCCTAATCACCCAGCACTAAAAAGACAATAGATTTACTTAGAAACACTGGTTAAGGGGGGAAAAAATTTAAAAGATTGGGCAATTATTTAACCTTTCACTAGGTTCTCTCCCTAAAGTAACATGAAAAAGGTACTGTAAGTTCCTCCAAATGTTAACTTTTCGGCTAGAATTCGCCTGCTGCAGGGAGCACCCACTTGCGCGGGTTCCCAGGAGGGTGCAGCGGCGCCAGGTCCTTACCTAGGAAGCGCCAGGGACTCCTCCGTGCGGCGGAAGGAGGCGGTGAGCGAAGGCAGAGCCAGCACCCCGTCCAGGTCGAACACTGCCGCGCGCAGCGCCATGGCTATCTAGCGCCGCAGCCTCACACTTAGGAAAGTGCTGGGCGGCTGGGCGGCGGGACTACGCAGGGACCGCAGAGGCCTTCCAGCCCGAGGGCCGCCACTTCCCGCCCAGCGCTGTGTCCCCACCACAGCCTTCCGGCTCCGCCTCCCCTGCTTCCAGAGTCAGACTGCAAAGCCGATGGTCACTTGAGACCAAAGTTTCTCTCCGCAGGCCTGGAGAAAAGGGAAGCCTAAGAGTCACAGCCAACGGACCCTTTAAGCGTGCGTGTGTGTTTCGGTGGTATATCCAATAAACTTAAACTTTCCTTACCCCTGTTTTCTAGATTCGGTGCATTTGTTTACAAATCTCTCACTATCCTAGTGCTCACATGTAGTCATGCCCTTCTCTTGTCAGAACATAATGTGTTTCTAGAACATCGTTCTCCAGGTGTCTTCTGCCCACCTAGAATATTCTGATTCAAATCTCTTTTGGAACGAGACCTGGAAGAATAAATAAATGACTATTGCTTCACCTTTGGACATTCTACACACTGCCTATAAATGTACAAGCTTTGTTTTTTTAAATCATTGATTCTCCACTATTGGCTCATCTATGCTTTCCTCAAAAACTGAAACTTTGTTCTGGAGTTCTCGAGCTGTGTTAGGTGATGAATTCCTCATGCTTTTATAGTGAAATGATTAATTAAAATTCGTTTGTGGCCCATATAGTCCTCCCTCCTGAATGTGTCCTGTGCCATCTGTCAATTTATCCAAGATATTCTTCACCATTTATTTATAAGAATGTTGTGAGAAAGTACCAATTTACTGAAATCAAAAGGTACTTGATCCACAACATTCTTGGGATCTACCAATTATCAACCCAATGAAAACCAGACAATTTTGGCTTGGTCTGTTCTTAGTGAACTGTGATGATGCTTATTTCTCTATCTATCCAAATTATTTATTTCATAACCTCTTCTAGGATTGTGCCTGGGATAATTATTGTGTTCTCTGAGATTTATCCATTATAAGCATGGAGCAGGCAGTGTTAATTGTGGAATAGACTGAAGAAATCCGTTAGATTTTGCACTTTTTGCATTACAACTTATACAATATTGTTGCTGTTGTTAAGTACCGTGAAGTCGGCTCGGATTCATAGTGACCCTGTACAGGGTTTCCAAGGCTGTAAATCTTTACAGGAGTGGAACACCTCATCTTTCTCCCATATACAATATGAAGCCTCTCAAATTTAAATCTCCAATTTAGGCTTTCTTTTAAATTCCAGACTTGCATATCAAACTTCTTATTCAGTAGTTCCTCCTGAAGGTCTAAAATCAAAACAACAAAAACAATTGCTGTCAAGTAGAGTCTGACCCCTGGTGACGCCATGTTTTGCAGAGTAAAATTGCTCTCCATGAAGTGTTCAGGGCTGTAACCTTTCAGAAGCAGATTGTTGTTGTTGTTGTTAAGTGCTATCGAATTAGTTCTGACTCATAGTGACCCTGTATAGGGTTCCCAAGGAGCAGCTGATAGGTTTGAACTGCTGACCTGGTGGTTCACAGTCCAGTGCTGAGCCTATGGCGCCACGTCAGGAGTCCCAGAAGCAGACTGGCAGGCCTTTATTCTGAGGCACCTCTGGGTAGATTTGAACAACCAACCACTCTATTAGTAGTCACGTGTGTGACTGTCATCCAAGAACTCTGAATGTGCAGTTGTTGTTGCTTAGTGCTTTAGAGTCAGTTCCACCTCCTAGCTACCCTGTATAAGGTTTCCATGGAGCAGTTGGTAGGTTCGAACTGCTAACCCTGTGATTAGCAGTTCAGTGCCACACTGGGATGTCTAGTTGTTGTTGTTGTTAAGTGCCTTTGAGTACATCCTGACCCATCTCAAATTTATCATGCCCAGATCAGAACGTTTGTATTGTTTCCACCTTCCCAAGTCTATTCCTCCCAGTGTGCTTCTCCACTTACTAAATAGCATCCCATTTACACAGTGTTGTTTTTAAGTGCTGTTAAGTCAATTCTAATGTTGTTATGTGCCATCGAGTCGGTTCCGACCCATAGCGACCCTGTATAGGGTTTCCGAGGGTGTAAATCTTTACGGGAGTAGAAAGCCTCATCTTTCTCCCGCGGAGCACCTGGTAGTTTCGAACCGCTGACCTTAAGGTTCGCAGCCCGATTTGTAACCACTATGCTACCAGTGCTGCCTTTCTATTCCTTTCTATTCTAATAGCAGCTCTATATAGGGTTTCCAAGGAGCAGCTGGTGAGTTTGAACCACCAATTTTGCTGTTTAAACCCACCTTTCAGTTCAGTATTTATCCTACAGCCCCATAACTAGGACTCCACACAGTTGCTCCACCAAAAGACCTTTGAGCTAGCTACTTTCTAATCGCTGGTTTCCATCTAAACTACAGGAACTGAATTCAGTTCCAGTGGTGGGCTATTAATTGGGGCAGATGTGGCAGCTTCCCGTTCAGTGGAAGTGTTTCCTGGTCCTGCATGAAAGTCACTCCTCCATTCCTTTCAAAGATATTGTAGGCTCCAATTTTCTGTATTACATCTCTTTCTTTAAAACAATGAGAATGATTTTTATTGGCTGCAGGTTTAAGTCCTTACTGGTACAGTATTGTCTATACTGATGAGGTACACATACATGTTTGTAAACGTAGCAAATGAGGAGCATGGGCACACATGCCTACAAAGCTGAATTTTATAAATCCCTTTTATAAGTGGGAAAATAAGAAGCTTAGAAATATGAGATTACACTTTAAGATGGGAATCGTCTTTCATTACAAGAGATATACATCACACTGACCTTTTTTTTATTCAGGGACAGGTCACTAGTATTTTGCCCTGATCTAGAATATTTTATAATACTGTGTTAATTATAAAATGTCTTGACTGAACTTCTTAGGCAGAGATTATGTATCTCAATTGTATCTTGTGGAACTCTGCTTTGTCACATGGGTCACACTTTCCCTGTGTTTTCTGCCCCCCAATGTACAGGAAGATCAGACCTCACTCGGCTGATTTACGAATACTAGACATCTTTGAAATGTTAATCCTGACCTTTCTGTCTACCCATTTTAATATTTATGAAACATGCTTTAGGTGGTATAACATGAAATCATAAAACATGGCTAATGTAGTAGTAAAAAAAAAAAAATTATAAATCACACCTGATGTCAGTCACTAAATTTGTAATGACCATGCAATGAACTCATTAGTTTTGGTTTGGGATTTCCTGTAGCTGCCACCCCTTTCCCATTTCCTTCCAGGCCTTGGGTTCCCAATCCTGTTCTGAAAATCTCTCTGTTTAACTCTTAGCGATTGAGAGAAGTGTTTACAATGCTGCTTTTCTCTGCTGTAGGTGCCTGATTCAAGTTTAAAGTTATTTCTAGCAGTTTTCTGAACCCACATTTCACATGCAGCTTTCTTTGTCTTTAGTACAGCAAACTGATTTCTTTAATTCATTCAACAAATATGTGTTAAGTACCTTCTGTGTGCCAGGCACTGTTCTAAGCATTTAGGAACTCACCAATACATAAAATAGACAAAGAATAGGTGCCAGCAAGTAGTTTACACTTCAGTGAAATAGCAAATTCAAATAGTAGTGTGTAGCTTCTGGGGCTAGTAGAGGACAGAAGTCTAAGAACTAAGGCCTCACTATTGTGTTCCTGGGTCTTCTTGATGACAGTGAGGTCCCTCTCTCTGGCCTCTGGGATTGGATCATTTGAAGACTAGTCAATCCATCCATTTTTCTTCCTTGAACGATTTCTCCTGAAGTCTTCCCTGTGTCTGAAAAAAATCCACTCCATCTTTCTAGTTGTATAGACCAACATTCTTAGACTTCTGCCCTGCATTTGCATTTCATATTTTATATCTAACCTGTCAGATAATCCTACTGGAGCTATCCTGTCACTTCTTGACTTTTTCACTGGTCCAAGCCATCGTCATTTCCCACCTGAGTTATTGAACTTGACTCCTATTTGATCTTTCTGCTTCTACCCTTGACCCTCAACTCAACATCCATTAGTCACAGAGCTGCCAGAGCAATCCATTTAATAGAAGTCAGCGCAGGACGCTCCTCAGCTCAAAAAGCCTTACAGTGGCTTCCCATCTTTTTAGTCAAAGTCAAAATCCCTTTCAATGCCCACAAGGCCCTACATGATCAGGCTGTTTGCTCCCTCTCTGACTTAATCTCCTCCTGTGCCCCTTCCTCACTTTTCTGCAGCTACACACTGTTGTTGTTGTTGTTTAATGCCATTGAGTTAGTTCTGACTCATAGGGACCCTGAATAGGGTTTCTGAAGAGCAGCTGGTAGGTTTGAACCGCCGACTTTGTGGTTCACAGTCAGTGCTGATCCTATGGTGCCACTAGGAGTCTAGCTCCACTCTACTTACATGCTGTTTCTCAAATATGCCACAGTCCTCTGCCTAGAGCACTCTTCCCCCTGGATCTCTTCCTGTCTCAATCCCTCACCTCTTCCTGGTTTCCTCTCAAATGCTTTCTCAATGAGGCATCTTTGACAAATCTACTTTACATTGCAACACCACCAAAGCACTACTACCCACTTCTTTGCTTTATTTTTTCCTATCACAATGTCTAAAACAGGGACTCTCATAGAATAAGAACTCAAGAGAGATTTAGTGAATGAAATAAACAAATAAAAGCAGTGATTCCAAAAGTATGTTTCCCAAACAAACGATATCAAACATCACCTTATTGCAATTTGGTGAGGGGGTGGTGGGGAGTGCTGTCAAGTCAGTGCTGTTTCTCCCAAGGAGCCATAGAGAGATTCAAACTTCTGATCTCTCGTGGTAGAAATGCAGATTCTTGGTTTACTCTAAACCTATGAAATCAGAATGTCAGGGCAGTTGAGAATAGCACTGATGACCAGGATGCATTTGAATGCAGTGAGTGGCAAAATACCTACTTTAAATATGACCTGTAGTCACCCCAAATGAAATCCCTACTTAAAAGCAAGGGTGTTGACATAAAAGTTAAGAAGGGAATAAGA